AAGCATTTTATACTTATATACCAACCCCGTACGAAGGACGGGTGCTCTGCTAGTTATTAATACAGGGTGATTGATATAAGTGTGCCAGCCGTTTTATTCGAAAACCATAAGAGATATCAAAAAAGTTAAATGGTAAGTGCCTTGGATTTTTTATTTAAAAAATTGTAGTCAAGTCAAAAAAATTATTTTAGCCGCCATTTTTCCAATATGGCCGCCAACTTTGATTTTTCTTATGGAACACCCTATATTTTATGATGTATTCTGGTAGAAAATGTAATTTTAAGACGATTTTATTCTTGTAATTTTTTTCATAAACCTAACCGTTTCAAAGATAATAAAGGTTTAAGCTGTGAATTTTTGAATGGTTTTCGAATAAAACAGCTGGCATGCTTGCTTAGGCCTTTATCGAAACTCTTTCTCATGCAGAAATTTCAAAACTTTAACCATTATTATCTTTGAAACGGTTAGGTTTATGAAAAAAATTACAAGAATAAAATCGTCTTAAAATTACTTTTTCTACCAGAATACATCATAAAATATAGGGTGTTCTATAAGAAAAATCAAAGTTGGCGGCCAGATTGGAAAAATGGCGGCTAAAATAATTTTTTTGACTTGACTACAATTTTTTAAATAAAAAATCCAAGGCACTTACTATTTAACTTTTTTTGATATCTCTTATAGTTTTCGAATAAAACGTCTGGCACACTTATATCAATCACCCTGTATATTTAAGTAAACAAAATTCTTGCTTCATAAGAAATACATTGGGATTTAGATGGTCTGTGGGGCAAAGCCCGAAGACTTTTATTGCTGGAATTGGTGAAAGGGGGCGTCTACATAAAAAAATACTTAATTTTGACACATCATTTGTAAAACTCCGTCGATTATTAACGGAGGAGTAGTGTTTCGTATAAATCGCCTTCACGTATTATATATAAGGATATCTATTTAATTATTATAGAGACAAATTAATTTGCTTTAGTCTATAGTATGTTTTTGGTTTGTAATTAATGAATGATAAGTGATTTATTAGAATTGTATATATGCTCTGCTATTTATTTAATATACTTTTTAACTGGTTTACACATTTCTGATTAACGATCTATTACAGTTGTATACGTCATTTATTTATACAAACAGCGATTTTATTTTATACTAGCAGAGTACCGTTCTACGTACAGGAATCTTGTAGTAAGTTGAAACCTTCTTATATTCAGAACAGGAGTTTGTTTGCATATTTAGAGTGCATTTTTCCAGATATGCTGGAAAAACTATTTTTGTATAGGAATACATATAAACCTTCGCAAATACAATATCTGACAGTTTCAAGCCAAAATGAATGCTTCGCAAAAAAAAGTCATCCCATCGTGTTAGTCCTTATTTTATATCTAATGAAAAAAATAATTGCTTTATAGATCTATGAGGCATAGCCCAAAGGTAGGCCTGTAATTGGAAGTTACTTTTCACACTGGTTAAAAGTAGTTAAAATACTACCTCAACCTTACTACTGTACAATTTATTCGGGGTGAAACTTTCATTAACAAAGGCACTCTTGTCTTTTCCACGAAACACAAAAAAAATAAGGACATTAATGCGTTACCAACAGACATACACACACAAATGCAGAATTGAATTAGGTGATTTGCTACGCTTTAGCCAAAGCAAATTACAAACAAAATAATTATTTGAAAGTTTTGATAGTGTAATCAAATTTTATGATAATCTTATTTAGGCCTAATCAAACTGTAAAATTATTGTAAATCCGTTGGCAAATATATAAATAAGTAAATAAATACACAGTCCACAAAACATTGATACGTTAACAACGTAAAGCTTTAAAAATTCATGATGGTTTGCTGAAAAAGTCTTTCACTAATGTGTTATTACTTTCATAGCTGAACTAACATTTTTGAGTCCATAAAGAAATCCCAAAAAATATACAGTAAGACATCAATTAAACTTAAAAAGCAATAAGGTGCAGCACTAAAGATAACAAAGTTGTAAATAGGGAAGTGTTTGTACGTAAAAATGATTCTTACTGCTACCACAGGTTCTAAGAAAAAGTACCAGTACCAAAAACCAACGTTTACAGTTAAGAAAAGAACTATTAGTACTTACGACCAATTCAAACTGCCCTTCTAATCAAACTGTATTATTGGTGTTAATCCTTTGGCAAATAATAAATCAATACACAGGGGACAAAACATTGATACGTTAACAACGTAAAGCTTTAAATTTCATGATGGTTTGCTCAAAAAATCTTTCACTTGATGTGGTACCAGTACCGAAGTTATTAATCTCCCTTGGTTTTTTTTTAAGTTTTCGAAAATCTAAGTTATTTCCCATTAATAGCATGATTTGTAAGCAACTTTTAATGTTAACATATTAATGACAGTTTGAAGAAACCACCTTTATCCAACCAAAGGTTTCTTATTTTTAAAAGATTACGTAATCTTTAAACCTAACGTAGATCGGTATATCAAGGAAACATTCGGAGGAGATGTGACAAAAAACGCACAAATTTGGGGTTTTGGACGTTTGTAGTTTTACTTCCTAAGTAGGAAGGCTTTGTATTCTAAAAATACCGATATCGTTGTCGAAATTTGGTTGTGAATAATTCGGCCTACGTAGGGCCTGCCCAAGAGATGGGCTATGGGCCAAGATTTGCGGTATGGTCCAGCGATTGCAGCACAAAGAGGTAAGAAGAATTTAAAAGTGACACATTGGAAAAGCGAGTTTAACTACATCTGTAAGTTAAACCTCTGTTACGATCACAGCGAAATCAGAAAGATCACAGCAACATCCACGATCACCCTTGCAGTTGTGTTTTTATACTTTGCATTTTACACAACTGTCCTTGAAACGCAGTCAATGAGTGGAAACCTTTTTGTAAGCTATTGGTGACGATTTTTTAAAAAAAATATAAGTTTCCCAGGACTATACAACACTGATTCACGGTCTTTTCCTTGGTTATCAAAACTCAAGTACAATCGTTGCACTTGCGATTAATTAAACCGATTAAGTAAGGCACAACGTGTTTAATCTCACTTAGTTTGGATGTGCTTACAAAACTTGATCGGAAATGGTTGCGGTACTGTATATGTAAACAGTATTTAATGTAAACATATCAGTGACAGCTAGAAGTGGGAACTAATCCAAACAGATGATCGTTATTTCATAAAATGTAATAGTAAACATTGAAAGAAAATTTGACAAAAATCGAACAAAATTGTGTTCTTGATAGTTCGTTATTTTGTTTTCAAAGAAGCGAAGCCATGTTTTTATAGCCAAAGACACTCTCACTAATCCAGAAAATACAGAAAATGATTTGAACGGTACTCTAGTTTTCTAGATTTCATGTAATTCTTCAATAATTTAAATGTAGTAGCTAAAAAACGTGTATTTAATTGAAGTAAATTAATATAGGCATATTTATATTCACTGTACTGTATATAAACAAATATCGATTGAGAAACAAACAATTACACGTTATAAAAAACCTCACTAGTCCGCTGCATTGTGATAGCTGGAAATCGTCGGAATAAAAACCGCCGCTACAAGATACAGAAGTTGGTACGCCTACAGCGCCCTCCACAGCTGCGCGCGCCGCTGGCACTGCTGCTCAACATATCCCCACCTAAAAGACGAGCAAGTGGTATGTCGGCCGGGTCGATTGACGACAAGTTGGTTTCTCGTATATAATAATTTAGTTTTACAGGCCGGTCAACTGGACTGACGATGAAATAACTTGTCGACGTACTGGTTTTCAGTATTTATCTATTTAATTAAAAAAGACGGTCTAGTGGCAAAACGACCAAGTATCTTGTCGGTCAACTGGTGGCCCCCCAATAAAACGATCTAATCATCAACAATAGGCCGTCTCCTGTTTATATTACAAGAAATTAAAACACACATCATAGAACCAACCCTAAAATAATAGAAACAAAATTACGTCAAAACTAACATCCAGTGTCACAACATGAACTACACATGGAAAAATTTTGAATTGACAATGTTATGAGAAGTCGACTTGAGTTATATTTAATCCATGGTCGTACTGCATCTAGGTTATACTTCCAAAGCAAAACAGAGCAATATTCCGGCCAACCGTACCGATCCTTAGGCCTGAGGAGAAAATGACAGCATTAATGGTTCTTTGGAGGGTATTGAATTTTTCTAAAATTGAATGCAAACTGAGATTAATATTTTTTCGTTAATTTTAAAGGTAAATTCATTGTTGTTTTAATATTCAACAAAACTTAGCCTATGATATATTAAACTTGATCCTGCAGATAGTTGTAAACTAATCAAAAGATTAGTTAATAAATAACTTTTGTTTTGTGATGTGAGGGTGGTAACAATGTCATGTCTAGCTCGCATGCGCCCCTTATCACTCTGATCAGTAGTGCCGAGCCCGACCCAGCATAGTGGCAGTGCAGTGGCAATACGATGCGTACCCCTTGGGCGCTCGTCAATGTCAACATCCCTACAGCCTACTCCCGTATAACCAATGTTCGTTAGCAATTTTGCAACGAAATTGATGCGTAATTCTGAAAATATAGTTTAACAATTATTTCTTCTTATGAACTTCAGAATCACAATGCTTTGGAGTTTTTTTATCAAATATGACTATTTATTTTTATTTTTAGATAGCCTAGGTATAAAAAAAATACTCCGGCCGTGCGCCCTCTGGGACCTTGCGCCCATACCGGGCCTATTGGGAAATCCGGCCCTGATGATTGCTACGAGTACGGAAGCTGATCATGTACTCGTAGCAATCATGTACGCGACAGGCCTGTCTCTTGTTTTACGTGTTTTTGTGGTTTTATCGTGTTCGTGTGTGTGTACAGTTTAACGACGCCAATTCAGGTGGATGTATGTATATCTAAGGATGGCATTTTGATGCCGAAACAGCTATAATCTACAGAAACTTCATAGCTGTGATGAGGTATTTATATTATATACATGTCAAAAGTAGCCTTAGCCATGTAGCTGCTTACCTTTGCTGTCGCCAAGAGAGACGCGAGACACCGGACCAGGTGTACCAGACCCTGAGCTGGTGGATGGGGTCGGCTCAGCTGCGACAGGTGCCCCTTCTTCCAGGGAGTCTGAAAAGTGTTTAGATTAATCTTTCAAATTGACTTGTTGATCAAATTGCTGCATCAATCTTAGCCTACATTTGTCAGGCTAAACTTTGAACAAGTAACTGCTTGAATATATTTTAATTTTCTAATTCCTATTTCCTCTCGCCTTCGGGGTTACAGCCAACTAGAGCATTGAAAAGTCCCCTCAAATCCAGCCATCATTGGGGATTTCCATGTTTTTCCATGACTTTTTGCCTATTTCCATGACTTCCAATGACCAGAATTTTTTTCCATGACTATCCCTGACTTTCCAGAATGTGGACACCCTGCTTGAGTAATTTTTGTCCGATTTTGATGAAATTTGGTTTAAAGGTGTAAAGCATGATAAACTTGAATAAGTTTTGTTATTAAATATTTTGACTTGCCAAGTACACTATTATTCACAGTAATGTATTACATAATGTATTACACAATGAGGCTGTAGTATAAATAGCATTTCATTTTTAAATTTTCGTTCCTTAAAAACATGTAAAATTGTAAAAATGTAAACATGTAAACTGTAAAATTTTAGTTAATTTTAACACGAATTCGCACAAATATCAGTGGGCGCTATACTCTCAAAAGTTAAAAATTTATCTTGCAACTGGTTTTGTTCCTACAATGCCTAAACACAAAAAATATATAATTATCATTGTTAAGAAAAGTGATAACACTTATATCTTAATTTACAGTCACGTTTCTGCAACGTTTGGTAGCCATCTTGGATTGGGGTTATATTTAATAATAAAAAAATTGGCAACAAGTAATTTTTTCATCCTAAGGTACACATTAACAGTTTTCAAAAGTTATTTCAATTTTAACAGGCCAGTCTAGCGAATGATACACCCCAGCCCACACTAATACATATATGACTAGGGATTCTCTTTTTCACCCAGAAAAGTGGAAGCAATTCTAAAGGTTTTGAGGAATAGAGATCCCATTCTAGCCACAAAGCCACGTTACGTGCAGTGCAGCTGGATATGAGTGAAAATTTAAAAACGTACGTTTTCAGCAAAAGCACTTTGCAAATTTTTTCCCCCTTTTTTCAAAACTTTTATTATTTTTTTTTATTTCATTAACATTTGAAGTTTCATTAAATGTCCATGGTAACGCAATATCTTTGGTAGTTTTTTTTTTAAAGAGCATCTTTAGTGGAAAAACACAAAATCCTGTCACGACCATAACAGACGTTTAAATGAATATTAAAAATAGTTGATATTATTTTTATAACTATGTTTTGCTATAAACCAATTTACTTTTATGACCATTATACAATTAAAAGGTCACTGAGCTTTTCGTATATTTGGTCTTTCTAGAAAAAAATAAAAAAATTGAAAAAAAGCCAATAAAATCTTTTGTTTGTATAACAAAAAGTTTGTATAACTCCGAAAAAACTTACCTGAGACCCGAAAAATCGTTATGTTTGTATAGAGGTGTACTTCTTTTGTGTATAAAACATTGAAATATGACGATATTTTAATTTTTGAAATTTTTATGATAGAAATCCTAAACGTGATGGTCAGGGACAAGCGGTACGGTCGTGAATTTTCTGAAATAATCTAAATCTTTCTAAACAATCCTTCAATTATACTGTTAGTTATAATAAAAATATGTGTTTCAATTGAACTAAACTGTTCAAGTTACAATTATATTAAAGTTATTGTCACGACCACACACACTATAATCCATAAGGCTGGATTGGTCGTGAAAAAACCCGTGATGGTCGTGAAATTACGTGTTATTTGGCTCTGTTCTGGCGGTAGCCCTGCACCTCATGTTCGAGGATACAAAGTGGACTTCTAGGTTAATCTAGCAATTGAAATATCTTATAAACAAAAATTAACACCATGTCTACTTCATCGAAAGACTACGTACGGTCATGGACACACTAAAATTACAAAAAACACAATCTTTCCTTTATTAATCTTGTAATTCCTCCTTCCAACTCCAAACGACCGGCACTACAATCCTGACGTACACCCTGAACTAGTCTCTAAAACCAACTGACTCCATCGACGCCAGGCTTGCCACTGTCGTGCTCCAAAGTTGAAAATTTTTCCCAAATGGTCGTGACGCCAAATCGAGGGACAGACTTATTTTGTCATGGTAGTCAGTTTGCAATGACAATAAAATTATAATATGCTCCTTTTTTGTTAGTTTAATAACCATTGATGACATAAAAATATGGCTTTATATATTTCGGCATGAATAATTAGTCTAAAAACAGCGTGAAAGTTGGAAAATGTACTCTAGGGACACGTCATGGTCGTGAATTTCGAGACTTTAAAAATATGAAAAAAATACCTAGAACCTGTTTAAAACCAAATAAATGTGTGTAACATGTTGCCGCATTCCCAAAAAATATTAAAACACACAATAATAAACTACAAATCCAGTATCTACGAAGTTAAAGGCCAGGGACATGAAAACGTACGTTTTAAATTTTCACTCATATATAGGCATTGGATTTTGCAAAATTTAAGTGATACAAAATGTTACTTTATGAAATCAGTTGAACAATTTATTGAATTAGTAAAAAACTTATTGCTCAAAATAAGCAAAACCTATTTATTAATACTTACTAGTACATTAAAAACTCTTCGGTGAATTTCGTTATGTTTTTGCGATCGCAACATCATCGGTAATCAAATATGTCAATTGTCAAGATTTACAATCAAGGCAAACACCCTTCATGATTTATCACAATCGTGGAAACATAAGTGAAATAAGCCAGTTAATCTTTCCTATTATCTACATGAGAGGATTTATTTCACCCTAATAACCAATTGGATACTTACCCAGACTTGTTACTTTTTCAAGTTCGATCTTGAATCTCTCTTCCTTCGGGAAGATGGTATGGAGATTTAGGTTACCACATCTGACAAAACAAATAATGTGAAAATATAACAAAACTATGGGTCAAGGAACACACATACTTAGTTTTAGTTTTAGACGAATTATTTACTTAAATATTTGCTTGTGAATGAGAACAGAGTAATTTTTGTTAGTTTGATTTGATCCTGTTGGGAACATATTTAGAGAGATTTTAACAAACCGTACGGTAAGTTGCCTCTCATTAGTTTGTTGTTTAGACAGCCTACTGTGTATGCACTATTACTTGCCCACAAAAGTAATACTAAATGAAATGAAAATGAAATGAAATGAAATATTCCTTTATTGTCACAATACATTTTAAGTTTTCAGCAATGCTGATGAAACAGGTCCATTATTAAAACTAGATTTACAATTCATTCCTTTAAATTAAATAAATGTAATAGAAAAATGTTTAACTGTTATTCAAATATTCAGAAACAGATTCAAACTCATTTTGTAAGAGATACATTCTTAACTCGCTTTTGAATTTTGAAATAATGGTAATTTGTCTGAATTTGGTAGGTAGACTGTTGTAAAGCCTGAGACTCATATAAAATGGTGATCTTTCATATACAGACAGAGGCAATGTCTTGGATATTTCAAATTATTTTCGAAACGAGTAGGATATTGATGGATGAATTGATTGTTGCCATATGATCGGTTTTTAAAGAAACCATCATTTTAAATACATATAGAGAAGGCATTTTTAATATGTCGTATTTTTAAAAAATAGGTTTAAATGGTGCTCTTTTTGGTGCAAAAGATAGGATTCTCAAATACTTCTTTTGTTTTTTAAAAACTGTGTCGGCATATGAAGTTGAGCCCCATAGTTCAATTCCATACTACATGATGGAATAAAACATTGCATAATAAACAGTAAGTTTAGTTTTCAGATCAATTATATTCCTTAAAACATACATTTGAGAACAGGCTGTATTCAGCCTCTTTAGTATCATGTCTATGTGTGGTTTCCAGGTTAAATTTTTATCAATAATTAAGCCTAAGAACTTTGTATGTTCAACAAAAGGTAAAGTTTCGATTTGGTAGCGTAATTCAAAATTTTGATTCTCTCTATTTTGGATTGTTTGAAATAATATAACCTGTGTTTTAGAACTATAAAGTTGAAGCCCATTTACTGTAAACCAACTGGACAAATCTATGAGTGAGCGGTTGAGTTCTAATTTTAGATTGGGTATATCTTTTTGCTTTAACTATCTAGAAGATACATTTTGAGGTACATCATTCACAAAAATTAAAAATAGTAAAGGACCCAATATCAAACCTTGTGGGACACCACATTTAACTTTGTGCCAATTCGAGATAAACTTTTTGCCATTTTTTATAAATTGATGTTCTTTGTTTCCTGTTAGTTAAATAAGAATCAATCCAAGGCAAAGCCATGCCAGAAAATGAATGATGTTGAAGTTTGCTCATTAAAACCTCATAATCTAGACGATCAAACGCCTTGGATAGATCACAGAACACCGCCGCAGTACTCTGTGATCCATCCAGGCCAGCCAATACTTGATTAATGAACTCTGAGACAGCCATTGTTGTGTTTCTTCCAGATCTAAACCCAAATTGTTTTTCTGTGAATAAGAAATTATTTTCAAAATATGAATAAATTCGGTTGTAAATGTAAATAAACAAGTATAATCAGATTAGTCTTTCACTTTGATCAAAGGTAATATGATATATCTGTATTCCTTCATTTTTGTAATTCAGTCAAACTGTAGTTTGGTTAAGTTTACACTAAAAATATGGTTTGCAATAAAAACTGTAAGGTACCAAATTTTAAGGGGGGTAAAAACGTACTACGAATAAATGAACACCAGAACTTACCCGATTTTTAACCACAATAGCCTACTCCGAGGCCTATGTGTTGGCCATAGCTTGGGCTATGGGCCAAAGAACGTAGGTCTATTTTTATTCACAGTGAAGTACACAAACACATCCACAACTACATATTTATTCATAATAGCACTTCGTTTCACATAATTAAGTTAAACCGACCGATTTTACAGATATTTAACGCCGCCGACGACATAACCCCAAACTGGTGTTTATTTGTTGACAGACGACAGACGAAACTAGACCAGCTCAAAAAGTAAATTCGATCAGCTGTTGTCTAGTAGTACTTGAGTTCGCCGCTTGAGCGCGTAAGCCTCGAGCGGGCAGGAACGAAAGGATTTTACTCCAAGACAGGATTATTCGTTTGTACGCCGTCTTCGAAGTAACTTCGTCTACATTCGCCCGGTATCAACGCTTGCACGATTTGACGATTGCCAATAATTCGTTTACCGAAGGTTAGCTATATTAGTTAATCACATTGCTACGATTTACGTTTAAATTTCCGTTTAACATTCGCATTCCCGTTTTCAAATTTGATTTTCAATAACTAGATTTATTAACTTAGTTTTCGCTGATTGGAGTCTTGACCCGCCAGTTCCTGCTTGCCAGTGACTAGCGGTGGCTATCGTTTATTTAATTATAATTAGTTAGTTTCGAGATTGTGATTTATCCGTTCGCTTAACGAATAATTATTACGTCTAAATTATATCTCGTTTTTACCGTTTTAATACCCCGAGACTTGTCGTCTAAGTTCTAAACCCCGTCTTTGGCGGTTGAAAGAATCAAGTCTTGGGAGCAGGCTGATTTGAACAATCAGCTACGAAAATTAATACTAAATTTATTTTAAATCATATCACGATAAAATTCTCCTTTCGATTATATTAATTAGGCCCGACGACTCTGTAGGAATTGCTTTTTACATTATATTCGATTTTATTTTATTTACCAACGTCTTTAACTAATTAGTTGCATTTTAATACGAGTATTTACGTCACATTGGCTAAGATTGAATACTCGTCGGCCCTACAGAGTCATTCCAAAGGTTAGGCAAAATTTAACAAAACACTTTAACGAAGGTAAGGATGATATATATAGCTCCAACTGAGCGTCTGCAGGATTTCCTAAACGTTTCCTGAGCTCTGAGCCTTCGATTAAATTTTAATAAATTGATCAGTCAATGCCGTGACAACTTCGTATCGACCCCTGGATTTTTCTCGGCTCCTGAGCACTCCGGGGAAGAAATTTGAGTGTGGCCAGTTCTAGGGTAGGCCTAGCCTGACTTAGGTGAATACTAGTTTATTCCCCCCTAGAATTTTGCGTCACAATAAATCATATGTTGAAGGTTCAGGTCTGACGTTTAAGTCTGATTATGGGTCCTGGATTGTCTGAACAATAGAGTCTCTTGTACACTATAAACATAAAATAGGTATTGTAAAACAAAATACACTGTAAAAATAGTTCACCAAAGTGATTTTACCTTATGGGGTTTATGTCATCAATATCAACATGCACAACCAAAGTCTGGTTGGGCGGGATGTTGAACCAGGAAGGTTGCACAGTGTAACCCGTAGCAGTAGTTCTGAAAACTACTGTCTGATCACTGCCGTTGTACAGAGGCAAGTCAGAGGGTACGGCCAGGGTGGCTGGAGCACCGAAGAAGTTTGGCCTGAGAGTCGCAACCAACGTCACAGGTGCAACTGGGTTCAGCGGGTACAAGTCAGTAGTGGCCAGAAGAAACTCTACTGTACCCTCTACAGGAATTGTGGTATCTGGAAAACCACTGTGTTAAAAACATGCACAGGAACCATATATCACATTACGAGTAGTTGAAAGTTGAATTGAATTGAATTGAATTGAAAATAACTTTATTCATAAATCACACAAGTATGTACATTGAAAGGTGTCAAAATTCTTAAACTACTTAAACTTACAACATAATATCAGCTGTACAGTTCATCAAAATTATACAGTACTTTTTGTGTTAAGTATATTTTAAGCTAGGATTTAAATTTTTTACAATCATCAATTTTCCTCAACCACTCTGGAAGCCCTTCCAAAAACTTTCTTCCAGCACATGACGGTTTTTTGTTATAAAATTCCATTCTATGGGCACCAACAGCAATTTTGTTTCTATGCCGGGTGCCATATTTGTGGTTATTCCCTAGTTTAGGTAACATACTTTCAGACAAAAGATTTTTAGTTAAAAGAACGGTATGGAAAACATAAATGCCGTACACAGTCATTATACCCATGGCTAAGAAATGATCACGTACGGAAACATCCCAGTTTAAATTTACCATTAGTCTTATTGCTCTTTTCTGCAAAATTAAAATTCTATACAAATTTTTCTTTGATGTTCCACCATAAACACTTATCCCAAATGATATTGCGGATTCAATGAAAGCAAAATAAAGCTTCTTAAGTTAAATGAGTAATAAACGTTTCAGTGTTAAGTATTCTGCGAATATACAGAGTGAAGAACTTAAATGTGCCACCATTATTCTCTCAGAAACTATTCGATTTAGAGAAAACATTATAAGGAGAATTATTTCAACTATCTTATGACATACAAAAATATGAATTCCCTTTCTTTAAAGTCTGATATTTTCAATATGGCAACTTAAAAATTTCTTATCGGACACCTTGTATTTTATGACAATTTTAGACTGTAATTTTAAAAACGTTTTCAGTTTAATAATTTCTATAAAGCTACGTAAAGAAGTTACAGCGTGTAAAATTTAGGGAAAAGTAGCTTTTTGTTACATTCAGCATGATATAGCTCCTAAACGAGTAAGTTTGGTGAAAAAATATAAAGAATAAATTATAAATGTCTTCAAATTGTATATACAATCTAAAAAGATCATAAAATATATTGAAAGTACTCCTTTAAGTCCTTACAAAAAAAATCAATCTGAGTTTAAATTTCTTATGAATTTTATAAGCTCCCTGTATGTTATAATCTTATATTCTTATAAGTATGAGCAAGGTCATGCAACATGTTCACAAAAAGCCACTCTTTTCCAAATGTAACACGCTGTAACTCCTAAAAAAGTAGTTTTATAAAAGAAATGCAACTACTAAAACGTTTTAAATTGCAGTTAAATGTTAAAATCATCATAAATTACATGTTATCAAATAAGTAATTTTAAAGTTAACCTCAATATTGGAAAATAGTTGATTTAAAAAAGTGGAATTCATATTTTTTGTCACAAGAAAATAGTTGAAGTTCCTATTTAAAAAGTTTATGAACTTTTAAATTTAGTTATGTGTACATTTCATTATTCATTGCCAATATCACCAATATAAGTTAACAATTTAAAGGCTGAATACCAGGGCTAGAGTACACTCACTTATTTTGCCCAATATATACTCTTGATCTATTCTTGCTTGTAAAGAACAATTGAACAGACTTCGAGACGTAGGTTCATGTAACAGTTATGGGATAAATCACAGACCTAAAAACTGTATTTTTTATATCATATCTTAAAGTTCTTTGGATAAAGTCCTTTATATGCTGGTATTATGTTGCGCAATATTCTGCCTGATAACTTCTTAAAAATAACAGACAAAAGTAAATAAGCAACTAAAACATTTATGTTAACCAAGCCCGTCTATCATCTGAATGAATTTGTTAATAAAATGTTGTTTTATTTAGTAGGTTATTAGTTAACATTTTTATTTAGCCGCTTTAGATATAGTTTGTATTAAAGATTAATTTAACTGTAATGTTATTCTATTCAACAAAATTTCTATAATGAAATTATGCTAATGTTCCATGTAAATCTTGGTGAGAACAGCACAAACTATGTCGTAAAACTACAAAACCACAGATAGGAATGAGCGTTTCCGTCACGTATTTTCCTACTCCTAGAGAGAGTGTTGGAATAAAATTTATAAATCTAATGTCTGTTGAAAGTGGAAATTAGTGACATTTAAACTTCTTCACAATATCTAACAAATATAAATATCTGGATATTGATCATCTGATATCTTAAATATCCAAGTGAAATGTTTATAAGATATTCTATAGCTAACTCTGTGTTGTCTGGGAGGTATAAAGTGGTGGCAAATGACACAAATCCTAGAGTGGTGGCAAATGACACTGGTGGCAAATAACACATATTCCTATTACCAAATCCAGGGATAGCTGAGCCTGTGTTAAAGGGAATGGTGCGACTTCATTGTATACACAAAAATACCCCCGTCGCAGCAAACCTGCAGACTTAGCGAATTTCCATCTGCCTGATTGGATTTAAACTAAAATGTCCCCTAAAAAATATCACATTTATTCCCTATTTAAACAGAATTAGTTTAATGAGTACTTAGGTTTCCTGCAACAGGGAGGGTAAAAAAGTTTTTTTTAATGTAAAATATTAAAAGGTACTGTGGTTTAGTAAGAAATTAATGTATTTTCCAAATTTGATCAAAATATGTTCATAAACAAGCAAACTACAACAGTTGACTTATTCTCCATAAGAATAACATGGGAATTTTAAAATAACAATTTTTTTGAATTTTCTCCGTAACAATTAGGCGCATAATAACGCTTCAATATACTAAATTATTTGTTTTTTTAAGCTCTACAAAATGGTTTAAAAATAAATTGTGAAATTTTGTGTTTTTAGGGTCAAAAATGGGAAAAGCCAATAGATATATAAAAATTTGAACGAATTGTGTTTTTGGCCTCTGGGGACATCAAAATGAAAAAGTAAATCGGTCCCGGGCTTAGGTCTTACCATGAGACCTACGGTAATAGCTACTTCCCTATAGGGAAATTCGCTAAAAAGGGAGAACTTTTTACCGAGTGGATCAAAAAAGATCTACCTAAATTAATCCAATTTTACAAAGAATGCATCTTGCCAGAAATCGTCGACAGCAGAGTGATTAGAGGGATGAATATAAGGGACCCCAAGTACATAACTGACGCCCAGGAACTCGTGAAGGCGAGAAACCTCGCAGTAATTTCCAAGAAAGTTCAAAATAATTCGGTAGCTGCTGTGTGAAAATATTACCAATTACATTTTGCAATGCCCAAATATTATAATTAGGCCTAACAATATTTTATCCTATCCATATTGCAATTTTTAAAATATCACCTCTCATTATCTGGACCAAAAATTATCTTATATTAAAATCAATGTACATAATTATTAAATTTAATACATTTTTATCTCTTTAGTAATTAATCTATATAATTAATACGCTACATGAAACTTTGTCGGTTGAACTCCTCCGCCATTTCTTAACGGTTTTTTTTTTTTTTTTTTTTTTTTGCATTGACGTCTCATTGGAAAGAGCGTGTCGCGTAGATTTGCAAACTGATTTTACATTTTTGAAAAAAAGTCCCTTGGGCTCTGCCCCAGTGGCTTTGAAAGTTCCCATGTTATCCTTATGGAGAACACAATTGTTTACATTTTGATCAGCTGTATAATTTGATTGCTGTTATTTATTTTTCAATTCAATAAAACGCATTGAATACATTTATTTACTATTTGAGTTTGGGTAAACATAACCCCCAAGACGGATCGTGTTAGTATGGTTAAATTTGTGTATTTATCGTTGTTTTGTGTAGCTATGAAGGATTGTGTAGCATAATTGCACGTAACTTAAATGTATTAATTTATCGTTGTTTTGTGTAGCTAAAATTTGTTTATTTGTTGTTTTTTTTTTCTTCAAATGCCTCCGACCCAACAACAATGAAACATAGACAGGTGGCGTAATCGTGATAAAGACCGCAGCTACAGAACAGTGGCGCGTACAGTCAGCACCTGACCCTGGACAATCTCAACTATTAGGTTATCAAATCAAATATGCTTTATTCATAAAGTACAGTTTTGTACATTGAATGGTGTCAACTAAATCCATCTTAAATTAATAATTTACAGATTTGTATATCTTGGATCATTATCTAAATCAAAAGCCAAAAAACAGAAAATGAAAATAATCAAAACTGAGTCAATTACTAACGCTAAGAGGGGAGGTGGAAAAATACTCTTCCAGGGAATAGAACGCTTTCTCTACTAAATAAAGTTTTAGTTTTCTAATTAAATTCTTCCCGCTTTGTTCATTTCTGATTTCATTAGGAAGATGCTTAAAATTTTTTAATCCTATACGAGGTGTTAGCCCGTCCTACGTACGGGAATTCAGTAGTCAGTTAAAACCAACCGTGTACAATTCAGATCAGCTAGTTTACACAAATAAAGGCAAAGTTTCTTGCAGTTTTAATGTGAAAAATCCTCTTGTAAACAAATGTTGTGTGACCAAATCTGCTTTTATTCCATCATAGGCGTATACGATATGCATTCCGTACGGTACGATGGCTATCCGATAATTTTACAATAAAACAGCAATTCTGCAATTTTTACAATGTGAAAAACATTGAAGTGAGATTTGCAGCCGATTCGCACAGACGCACACTGATTATAAGTAGCCTACGGTAGAGAGAGTAATAGTCAATTGAGAAGTGTATAGACCTAGTCAACGATACCACCTTCCATAGCATACCTGCCTCTTCCATCATTATTATCACCAAAATACAACTACAGTACTATACACAATTTCCAGTAGGTCTGAATAGAAACGACCTAAAATAAAACAATGATATCCAATAAAATTCACAGTACACATAATTTAACTTTGGTGTCCTAACATCAAAACTAATCGTCACATCTATCCTTTATATCAATTTCACTGCATTAATGCTAAATAAATAAGTGTACACAAAGAAAAGTATAAACAATAACAGTTTGTTTTGAAACAGCTATTTGGTTCAAATAACATTCATATTTATTTGATCTGACTTTAGGTAGGTTTACTTTCCCACTTGACAACATGAAGTGTCCATATTCTTCATGGTTTTTTTTTACTTCCAAAAAGTTGCTTAGCATAACTGGCAAAAATGATTCATCCCCCCAAGTGATTGTGTACCTGGATTCCTCTACTCTTCTCATACGTATAAGATTTCCTATTAATTGTCTCATCCTCCTGTTTTCAATATTTCTCCTTTAAACTCAAGAAATTGTCTGTTCTTCCAACAAAACTGATTGACTGTTTGGATTTGTCTACCTAGCCACCTAAATATTACAAACATCAATATTTACTCCAAAATAGCTGGTGAGTTTCTTTTTATATTTACACAAAATAATAAAGATTTAGTACGAAAAGCATAATTATTAGGTGAGTAAATTGATTAAATAGTTCATAAAAACAAATTTTGAAAAAAAGCTAGAACAACATTTTTTGGCCCAGACGGGTCTCGAACCTGGGTCCTTCGACTTATTAGCCTCTTACCTTACCACTGAGCTATCTGTGATTGTTGATATAGAGAGTTTTCAAGTGGTGAAAGAGTAGCCGACAGTTGCAATGGTCGCAATACTTGAAACATTTTTGATACTACACAGTATAATATGATTCTGTTAATCTGTTAAGGCATCATAAGTAGATATTATTTTTTTTTTTTGGGAGTTAGAGAGGATACTGGTATTTGAATATAGATTATTTAATTACCACTAGATTATTAATGCTATTATAATTGACTGTTATATGATTAATTACTCTTTCCCCTTAAATTGTCGCAAATAAGTTAAAGAATATTAATTAAAAAAATATTTGCATTATTATAATTATGTTGTGAAAGCTAGATCCAGAGAATGAAAGTCGTGTAAACTCTACTATGGACCATCGTTGGTCCAACAAAAGTATCTTTTGTTGGTCCAACGGAGTGAAAAACGGTTGGACAACGATGGGTTGATGTATGATACCCAGCAATGCATACCTATTAATGTATTTAATTAACAATGAACCAATGTTGGTCCACAGTTGTAAATATTGGTTGGCCTAACTACGAGATATACAGTTGGACAACGGTTGGTTGGTTGTGGAAGCTCCAACCAACCATCGACCAACTGTCCCACAGTTGGCCAACGTTGGCCCAACCATCTGTGCTACATGGGTTTATAAGTGATTTACTAAACCTTCCCAAGTCGGTCATTCACTGGCATGGGACCGGTCATTCATTGGCATAACATCAGCCATTTACTGGACTCATGACTTTGGTGTATAAAAAGGCAATTCTTACAAACGTAATTGATCTTTTATCAACAATTGATGATATAGGGCAAACCCTTAAATACCGTATCAACCAAAAAGTAGGTATAATAATATAGCATTAATACTCTCATTTGAGAGCATTGTTAAGTTAACAACATTTTACCTTAACTGGTCATTCTATAGGAACACCCTACTATAGGAAAATTGAAGTATATTTCATAACAAGTAAAGTTAAAATTTGTGTGGGATTTCAAAATTGCGTAAAATAGGCAAACAAGGTCAAAGTTAACACATTGCCATGATGAAATTGCACTACCTGATTAAACAAAGGAATTCTTTTTTTGTTGCTTGTATAGTGACTTACAAAAACAACTATAACTTCCTGATTCATTATTATTTTATCTTAAACTATATATTTTTCCTCCTTAGAAATATTGGGAGACAATTCACTATTATCTCTATACCAGGCTACTTCACTCGATCATAAAAAAGACAGTGGCAGCGTTTTGACACAAAACATAGCTTCAAACTATCTTTACTCTTTACTACTCTTTCCATTCACCTGGATGTTGAAGATGGGCAAAGATGGGAGGCGTCTCACACAGCACAAGTTGACTGACTATCTGTCCTGGATCCACCATCACTGTCACTGTCTGCTTCTCTCTCCCTCCAAAATGGAACAACACGTCCTCATGGGTCACCTAGAATGTCAAATAAGGGTGACAACTACTAGAATATAATGTTCAGTGACAGGTTTGCTGGGGTTAGGCTCGTTAAAGCCTACCCGCTGCCATTAGGCTGGGCGCACACTGATCCAGCATTTCACCTGAAGCAAAATGTTGCACAACGATTTGCTTGAAGCGATTTGTTTATTTGCTTCTCCAGTGTGCGGGAGTTTCAAACATGATTCAGCATTTAGTTTCAAGCAAAATTAAGAAAAATAAATATTAGAATTACATATTATGTCTACTGGTCTTATACTGCAGTATTGTTTTAACATATGTGACGAGGAGTCGACTATTGCTGTATGTCAGTTTTTGCAAAATGCTGGACTAAATAGAAAGACAACATTGGGTTCATCCAATCAATCTGTTGATAGACAGCTTTCCTCTCTGCAATTAAATCAGATCCAGGGAAATTTTACAATCATTGTCGAATAAATGCTATACTATTTTATAGAAAGGGTTTTAAATACCGTAAGAAATTATTATTAGATAGTGTCATGATGGTTATATAAATAGGTAATGATTAATGAACTGAATAACCTTGGTAATTTCTTAATTATTTTACTACTTTGCATGACTACCAAAATGGTAGCAAGAAAAATTAAACAACAGTTTTGTTCAATATAAATTCAAAATATAATTGTTAAGATTTAACGCAATTTCTAAATTCATTTTTCATCAAAGAAGAGTTATTTCTTAATCAACAAACGGTCAATTTAATTTTGAAAGCCACTAAGCTTTACTAGCTAGAAAGAATTTGGCGCATGCGCAGAACGTTTTGCTCCTTGAAACATCAAACATCGTGCTGTATGGGATCCATTCGTCTAGCAACTGCTCAAATGTTTCAAGGCGTTGCGAGGCGCCTCGCAACGTTTGCTTGATCAGTGTGCGGCGTCCCATTGAAATACATCGGGCGCTCGTACCCAGCGAAACATTTTGCCTCGCAACACTTGCTTCAGGTGAAATGCTTGATCTGTGTGCGTCCGGCCTTATGTAGTCATAGAGCAGTGGTCAGCTGAGCAACGTGCATTTGTTATTAAGTCGTAAAAAAAAAGAATTACTCAGTCATTGAAAACTCAGTGGCAGTTCCATGCATTCTTTCAGTAAGGTCGACATGGAGAGGTTCCATCGCAATTATCTGTACGGATTATCAACAAAATTAAACAGATTAATACAAATTAACCTGTAGGGATAAAAATTAAGATCAAACGTCAAAATTGGTGTAACCAAGTGCGAGAGGTCAGACATGTTCAAAGCAGACCCTTGTTGGTACTTTCTTATTATACCGACACACCTAAAAATGAAACTAACCTCTTCTTAGGTGATGTAATTATTTGTCAAGAACATTATCAAGCAACTTATTGTGAAAATAATTTATATATAAAAAACTTTTTTAAAACAACGTTTTTAAACTCACTAAAAAGTAGAAAATAATTTATAAATATGTGGAGGGTATAAATACAGTACTTGTAAGATTAAAAACAAAAAACGTGGGGTACATGCAATAGATAATTTACAATTACCTTCACCTATTGAACTAATGTATTATTATAAATTGCATGCACCCCACGTTTTTTGTTTTTAATCTTACAAGTATTTATTTATTTATTTATTTTTTTTTTTTTAGGGTGAGGAGGGAAAATGCTTTTACGCACACAGGTAGCCAGCCTGTAGTGTGAGACTCCTGAGTTTATCACAGACTACTCACTAAAAAACCCCCTCTACTCTGTTGGACACAGACCTGGAATTGTTTGTCACATTACTTCAAGTCAGGCCAACATGTGACCTAAGCCCACAGGGCTCGCACCGTTTCTGGCATTATTTATTTTTTGACCTACACCGTATCCCGGTCGAGGTCAAACTTCTTGGCGCGGAGAACACCCTGGATGTAAAGTGACACACAGGTCCAATTGTCCTCACCCTCCATCATCATCGGTATGACCGTGTCCACCGACAGCAGTCCTACGAACTGTTGAGCCTCTAGGCGGGGCCTTTCCCAATGCTGGCAGTGGAAGAAAGTGTGTTCCACGTCATCGGGAATGCCTGGGCAGTATATGCAATCGGGTGACACGGCTTTGCCCATCCTGAACAAGTACGACCGGAAAAAGCCGTGACCCGTCAGAAATTGGGTGAGGTAGAAGTTCACCTCTCCGCACTGCCGATTAACCCAAGGTTGGACCTGTTGTATCAGTCGCCTGGTCCAGAGCCCCCTTGTCTCCTGTTCCCAGCTCTCCTGCCACAGCTGGAAGGTCCGGGTGCGTTCCTCAATACTTGCCTGGTCCTCCCCACGGCGCTGATAAATTGCCTTCCTCTCCGCCGCCAAAAGTTTGACGGGGATGACTCCAGCAACCACCAGGACGGCGGGTTCGGACACTGTTCGATAGGCAGATGCTACCCTTAGTGCTGCCTGACGCTGCACTCGGGCGAGCCGCATCCTATATACCTCCTTATTGAGAGCGTCTGCCCAGACCTCCGCACCGTACAGGAGCACTGACTGGACCGCAGACATCAACAGCCTTCTGCGGCTGGACCGTGGACCTCCGACATTGGCCATTAACCGACTAAGGGAAGAAACCATTTTAGCGGCCTTGTCCGCCGTACGGGTGATCTGGTCTCGCCAGCTGAGCTTGCTGTCCACCATGACCCCAAGGTACTTTGCGGCACGAGTGGTTTGGACTTCAACGTTCCCCACCATCAAAGGCACGATGGTGTCAATCCTCTTTTTAGTCAGAATGACAATCTCAGTTTTGCTCAGAGCGAGCGAGAGACCATGTTCTGCCATCCATGCGTTAATGGTTCGCATGACTCGATTTAGTTTCAGCTGGGCAAGCTCAATGCTACGTGCAGCTATTAAAGCCGCAACGTCATCTGCATACCCAACTAGGACAGTTTCCTCAGGCATCTCGGATCTCAAGAGGCTGTCGTAGGCGACGTTCCAGAGGTCCGGGCCCAGTATGGATCCTTGAGCAGCACCAGAAGTTACATCCATCGTCCTGGAGCCTTCTGTAGTGTCGTAAATGATGAGGCGGTACCGGAGGTAGTCCTCTATCATGCGCATGAGGTATGCCGGGACGTGGAAAGTGTTCTCCAGTGCGTCGAGCATATCGCACCACCTCGCGGAATTAAATGAGTTTCGCACATCAAGTGTTACAAGCAGCACAACCCGACGAGAATAGTTGTTAAACTCCTCAGCTCTCATTACGGCTCGCTTTACCTCCTCAATAGCGTCAACCGTTGACCGTCCCTTCCTGAAACCGTACTGACGAGGGGATAGATTTCCTGCAGCAACCACGGCTGAATTCAGTCGGGAACGGATCAACTTTTCCAAGACTTTCCCAGCAGTGTCCAACATACAGAGAGGTCTGTAAGAGGAGGGTAGGTCTGGGTTTCCTTTTCCCTTCCCCACGAGCACAAGCCTAGCTGTTTTCCAGCAGAAGGGAAACTTCCCCTCGGCCAGACAGGCATTGTACGTGCTCAAAAGGATTTGTGGGTTTATTGAAAAGACTTTCTTCAGGGCCTCACCAGGTACCCCATCCGGTCCAGGAGCCTTGTTGTTCTTCAGGGACAGAACGGCCGCCTCCAACTCCTCGAGACTGAAAAGCGGTACGTCGTCCACCCTTCCGAACTCCCGCAATGGGCGCAGTGTGTGAGTCAGGAAAAGGGACTTTACGATCCTTTCCATAGAGGCCCCGTCCATAACGGAAGGTGGAGAGCGGGTGCCAAGCTTCTTGGTTACAATCTTGTAACCAAGGCCCCACGGATCGGAATCGACATCGTCCCTTAATTTCTCCCAGCAACTGTGTTTGCTCCGGTTAATGGCCCGGCGAAGAGACTTCCTAGCCACCTTGTAAGCGTCAGACTTAAGACGTCTATCTTCAGGTTCTCTGGCCCTGGTAGCAAGACGTCTGGCTCTCAATGCTGCCCGTCGTAGTTCTGCGATCTCGGTTGTCCACCAGTACACAGGTCGCTTATCGCACCGGGATCTCCTGCGAGGCATTGACTCTTCGCAGGCCGAGACTATCAGCCTCATCAATGATGTAACTGATGCCTCTGCGTGAGCCACGCCAGATGCAGCAGGTACCACTGGCTCTCCCCGTAGTATGACTTCGGTGAATTTGGCCACGTCCAGCTTTTTGGTGTTCCACCGAACGGGCACCTGCCGAGACACGGTAACTTGTCTCTGATGACTATCCATGACATCAAAAATGACGTACTGGTGGTCACTGGCCGTATAATCCTCTAGGACTCTCCAGGCTCGTATCCTCGGCAAGAGGGACTCAGATGCAAGCGTGATGTCTGGGATCGTTCCCCTCGTTCCGGGACGCTGGAAAGTTGGCGTGTTGCCCTCGTTTATGACAACAAGTCCAGCCCTGGCAGCAAAGTCCAGGATGTACTTCCCCCGGGAATTAGTGAGAGTCATTCCCCACTCGACAGCCCTAGCATTGAAATCCCCCGCCACGACAACGTGCCCGGCGGTATCGCGCACGCTCTCTTCCAGGCGGTCTATCTTTCCACGAAAGTCACGGATAGCCTCGTTGGGGGTGAGGTATACACTAAAGTAAGTGACATCTCCGCACCGGACCCAAACGAATCCTCGGCCCTTCGCGTGACTCCTTACCTGCACTTTAGCTGTATTACGATGTAAATCTTACAAGTATTTATACTTTCCACATATTTATAAATGATTTTCTACTTTTTAGTGCGTTTAAAATGTTATGTTTTAAAAACAGACGGTTTTATAACCGTTGTTGATATATGCTTTTATTTAATCTTGTCAATGTTTTTTAGTGTGAAAAATAAAGCATGTTTTTACTTTTTCTTTCTTTCTTTCTTTCTAGTGCGTTTAAAACGTTATGTTTAAAAAGTTTTTTTTTATTTATAAATGATTTCCTACTTTTTAGTTTTTAATGTGTGTGGATGTTAAATCTATTTCAAGCATCTATATCAGATTAAGACAGAGGCATGTGGGAAATCTAAGGTTCATTTGAGTTTCTTTTCATATAATTATGTATTAGATTGAATGTATGGCCTACCTACTAACTATAAGTATATCAATATATTTAATTTATTGTTTACTTTATAGAATACTAAATAAATAACAATTGACAATATTAACAAACACCTTTATATCTACAATCAGATTGTTTATCTTTATTTTGAAATGTTTGTTTGTATAAATAATCTCTTGGGAGCATAACATGTACCTCGTAACCTCTGCTCCTCAAACTGTCAAACTTAAGTATTTACAGCTGACTTAAATTAATTGATATATTTACATTCTTTCAAAATGTAAACATGGAAAATTTGGAAGCCCATGGGGCGTAGCCCAAGGGAAATATGAAAATTAAACGATATAATATTGCATTATCATCCATTTGTGAGCTATGTTTCAAATTTCAAGTCTCTAGCATATTGGGAACTTTGTTTGAAATTGATATCAAAATTTGTAGGAAAGCGAGCTAATAAAAACAAGCCCATGGGGCGTAGCCCAAGGGAAATATTAAAATTAAATTATATAATATTGTATTGTCATCCATTTGTGAGCAAATGGAAATCAAAACAATAACAAACCTAAATTTATTATTGCAAGTTTAAGTTCAGCTGATGGCGATAGGCTTAAAACTGCCGAAAAGAAGTCGTTCCTGTTTGTATCTAGGCTATCACCGGACACTGACTCTAAGGATTTGGAATCTTTCCTATTAGAAAAATTTAGTAATGAATCGTTTAAAGTAGAATCACTAAATTCTAAGTACCCGGATGAATACTGTTCATTTAAAGTCACCATTCCTTCCAGGATTGACAAAGTAGTGTATAAACCTGACTTCTGGCCGAAGGGAGTGTTTGTGAAGAGGTTTGTTTTCAATAAGTCTTTAAACTTACAGGACAAACAAGTTTTACCT